ATCCATCCATCCATCCATCCATCCATCCATCCATCCATCCATCTATCTATCGGAATTGAACTGTGGAGTCTTCCAACAGTTGATACTTCCAAGAGTTTCCGAACATTAGTTGGGTAACTAGGCTTTGGAAGTAAACAGCCAAGCTCAGAGCACAAGGACTTCATAATTTGGCATTAAAGTTGTTGTTGAAATAGGATATAGTTTAATGTTTTTATTCATGTAATATTGATTTATTCTTATGTTTTAACTTTAATTTACTTTCAAATAACTTATATTGTCAACTGGTTATGCTATGTTGGTGATTTTAATTTTTCTTTAAATTTAATTTTTGTACTTTTGAGTAATTTTTGGCTCAAAATGCAAGTCTCTTCAGTTTTCTGGGCAGGTTTTCAGAAGTGGTTTACCCTTGCCTTCTTTCTAAAGCCAAGAGAGATTGACTAGTCCCAAATCATCCACTGGCTTAAGGCCTGAGGCTTACAACTAGAACACATGGTCTCTGAATTTCTAATCTGGTGCCTTAACTATTACACTAAATTCATTCTTGTAGTATGGTATAACTCTGTGATATGAAAATAGCGCTATCTGGACCAATATGCAATTAGATTTAATTTTACATCTAATTTTCTATCTGGAAGCTCCAAGGCAAATCCACAATGCTGAAGTGGCCTGGTTTTCAATTTATTTTTGTCTACTGCTTATTAATTCTGCTGTCCCCTCATTTAATTATATCACCTAGTGCCAAGCAAGATATACCATGTTGTTAAAGAGCTGTTTAACATGACCCTGAGTCACTCTATGAATGATTGTTGCTTCTGAATGCTGCCTGATGGGAGGTCTGTAAATGCAATCAAACTTAGTGAGCAAAACTCCTGCTTTAACTAACAGGAGCCAAATGCAAATGCCAGTCAACTCGGCATTGCTATAAACAACAAAATAAATGGCAACAGCTTGGCTGATGTGATTTATTATTGCCAATGTGCATTGGAAAATAATAATAATAAATGGATACAATGCTTCTGCAGGAAAAATTCCTTTCAAAATTATTATTCATGCCCGTATTGCTTAGGTATGTGGAAAAAATGAAGTTGGCTTTTCAGGGAGAATGTTTGATGACACTTGATCCACAGAGTTCACTCTATTGTATGAAATGCATTCTTTCCCTATGGGCAATTATGACTCACAATGTAATTATTCTTAGCAGCTCTTTTAGATGAGAGATTTTTTTCGCTTGTGTGCTGTGTATGTTAACCAAATTAACCTTGTCACCTTATAATTTCCTTAATATATAGTAGAGCCAACTATAGTTAACATTCACAGCTTACATGCGAAGGTGTTTATGAACACAATGATGTATGCTAAGTTACTGTTTATTTCACTATAGCAATAACCTTGACAATCTGGGTTAATTGTATTTTTTTTTCTTTCATTAAATTGTGTTTGCCTTGCCTGGGCACCTCTCTGCAATTTTCTTGGCAAGGTTTTTCAGAGGTGGCTTGCCATTGTCTCCTTCTTATGGCTGAGGGAGAGTGACTGGCTCAAAATCACTTGTGCCTAAGACAGACTAGAATTGGAGGTCTCCTGATTTCTAGTCTGATCCTTATGGAACATCATTCTATCTAAGAACAGACTGACCGCAACTCTTAACCTTTCAGAAGATTCTTTAAAAAATTAACGATCCAGGCAAAGATTCAGAGTGTTACTTGGAGCCTATGATATGGTTTGAATTTTTTAGCTGCTGTATAGGTTGCTGTGCCTTATAATATCCTTCTATATCTGTAAATGTTGTTTTTAAGCTACATGAAATCGCTGTTGTGAGAGGGGAGTTATATAAATTGAATAAATAAATAAGTAGCATCTGTCCTTACAAATCTACTTTAGATGTACCTCTACTTTAGATGTACAATTTAAGGACAAGAAGAAAATGGAGGATCCATGATTGGAAAGTTATATTAATTATAGATTAGATGGACTGAAATAGCTAATTGAGGCTCAAGCTGAGATACGAGACTAAGTGAGGGGCTACTTTCTCCCATAAGAACTGCCTAGCTGGTGAGATTTTTTTTCTGAATGAACATTACATTTCAGAACAGATGTCTGTCCTAAGTATATTGATCTCACATCTGGATTTTTTTTAACTTAACTATCTGCCCAATTCCAGGCTTTATTATATTTTTATATGTCTCAATATTTTTTTTCTTTTCCTCCCATTTTCCTTTTGATTTGTTTTAAGAAATGTGCCCAGTAACTTTGATTTCAATGCCACTTTTTGCAAATGTTGAGTTATGTTTCATTCTTTCTAATATTGTTTTATATGTCTTTATGAATGGCATTTTAAAGCAGTCTTAGGAATCAAAGCTTGAAAGATGAGATGGAGACATTCAGAATAAACAAAATCTAGCTTCAAAGCCAACGAGACTGCTTTTAAGTGCTATATGCTGCCTTGATTTCTGACAACCTCATGGAGTGCTAAGAAATACTGTAAGTCAAGCCATTTCAGCACCACGGAAAGCTCCAGTGAGGACTGGTTCCTAAGATAACTAAGAGCTGTATGAAGCTTTATAACTCTAGAACTCTAGAATTACTTTGCGTCCTCTTTCAAAAAAATTTAGCAATGGGTTCTCTGCCCAGTTGCTGGGTGGGCATGCCATGTTGGGCGTGGACTAGTTGGCCTCCTGCACCATTGTGGGGGATGTTTTTGCCCTCCCTGGGCTTTGGGGGCTTTCTTTGAGCCTCCAGGAGGGCAAAAATGGCCTCCCAGGCTCTGGAATCTCTCTGGAAGCTGGAAACAGGCCCATTTCCGGCCTTCCCAAACTTCCAGGAGGCCCATCCATGCGCGCCCTGCACTTACCTGCATCCAAAACAGGCTGCTTGGGGATTCCTGGGATGGGCGGGGCAGGATGGGTGGGGCCAGCCATGAGTGGGATTTGGGGGTTCTCCGAATTGTGCAGAATCTTAGAGGATGTCCCAAACCCCTGCAAACCCCCAGCAGCCCACCCCTGCCTTGGAGATATGGAAAGCCCAAGTTTGCATTCTAAGGTTAATTCATGATAAGCTTTTAGGGATGAGATACAATTCTCCTACAAAGCACATATGCTTTGCTAGAAAAAGAACAGAACAAGCAGTATAAAAAGAATGGGATAAAATCCATTTGCAAATGTGAGGCATAAGCTCTTCCTTTGGTACCGTTAAGACCATCCACTGCAGATACTGGAAAGAAAGCTCACTCTAGTACTTACTGGTGGATTTTATTTATCAAGCCTTCGGTTGCCTATTTCCATAGATACGGAAAGGTGCAATTGATAATATGGAACTTTTCCTTCTGAATCTTCTGTTATTGCATAACAATTTAAGAAGCCAGCCTTTTGCCTCTCTAAAGAAAAAGGGGGCAGTTGTGCACATATACAGTATACCACTAAAATAAAACAACAGCAACAGACTCTACTTTTCTAAGAAATAATATGACATCGGCAGCTATTACTTAATTCATCTTTCACTGGTAACTTGTTCTATCTGTGTTTTGTTTCCCAACCCTTGTCTGCTTTGTAGTTCACTTTTAAGTGGATTGTATAAATGAAAGAAGCAACTTGAGTTGAATAGACTGCTGCTTGAATAAAGGCAGTAAAAGGAGGCCTTTTTTTAAGTTAGCAAGGAGCAGGTCAATTAAATGTCAGGAAAGCCACCCAACAGCCTTTGACAAATAACAGAACATTAGCTGCATACTGTATTTGGAGTGTCATCCTTGTAATGCTCTAGAATCCAAAAGCCGAGAATTGTGGCATCTTGATTAAAAGTTCAAATAAACAATGTAGGTCAAGATGAGAGTTTTGCTTGAGACATTTTTTTAAATGCTGATTTTCTGGAAATAACATCTGCATTGTCATCATAAATGGAAGCAAAAAGAACTTAAGGTGGGTTAGGAAAATAAGAGGATCTAAACTGATTCCTTGTGTGAACAACTCAGTGCCTTCCAGCTGATTTTTGAACGACAGTTCCTCTAATTCTAATTGACATAACTGCTGTTATTTATGGAATTGTAATCTATACGTTGCAGATTGCAAGAATTCAGATAGGCAGAAGACTTTTTGGTCTGTATCTTTGTGTAATCCATTATTTCTGTGAGGCTATCTTGGTGTTCCTATATGTACCCCTTCACCATTTTGACAATTCCTCATTTTCGATTTGGTAACCTAAATGTTCCTTTCTCATCTGATTCCATGATACATCATGGCAGGCCACTACAAACATCTTGCTCTTAGGTAGTGAATTTAACTGATGCAGACAATAAACAATAATTATGGTTGGGTTTTTCAAGGAGGTGGGTTATATGTAACGAGGGACGCAAATATGGATGCTTTTAACACCCATTATTCAATGGTTCCCATTATTTGTAATGCTATTTCTTCCAGTAAAAGATGAAATATGTCTCTCTATATTGATTGTTATGGGAAAACATTTGATCTGATCCATCAGTACTCTCTCTTGTTGTACAGAAAGTTTAATCATTATTGTACCAAAAAATGCATTAGTATGACTGATCTGGAGCTGCAGGTATGTAAATATGTTGTTTTTTTCAGAAAGCAATCATAAATGCTTAAAGTCCCATACATCTTTGTCATACTTCCAAAAAAAAACGAAGTCAGGGCTGCTATGAAGATTGCCAGTGATTCATTACTGCTGAATTTTGATGACTCAACAGATGCAGCTGTGATGGAAAACATTGGGTGGAGGCTAAGAAAAGGAGAGGAGAGGAGGAGGAATAATAATAAAAGAGGGTAAACTGTGATTGTTAGTTTATATCATGAAATAAAAGTATGGTTGACAAGAGAAGGAGTAGGGATAATTGTGTGGGGCCCCTTTGCAATTCTCCAGGTTTGCTGTGTTAGGAGCAACATTGTCAAACAGCCTATAGCCTGAAAATCATTATCAGGCTTCTTGATTGCCTTGAGGGCTGATAGAAATCAGGACTAGAATTATAAACCACTTTGATTTATAGTTCTTTTGTTGTCAGTGTTTCTCTGTGCCCAAGAATGTATAGGCTGTAAAAGCACCAACTGTCCCCTGAACTGTTTGTAAAATGCTTCACAGAACCACTGATGAGAACCTGGAGGCTGTAAATCATAAGCTCTGGAATGCATGCAGGACTTGAACTGAAAAGATAAGGGATCTTCAGAAGTTTCTCTGCTTTCCACATCCACATCCAGCATTCAAGATCTTGGACTCATATCTAAAAAAGTAATCAGGAAGCATTAATAGCCTAAGGAAGCTTTAGGCCACTCTTTTCAAATTTGCCAAATTTAAGATATGTGGACTTCAACTTTCAAAATCCCTCAGCCAGCCTGCTGCCTAAGGATGCTCTGGGCATTGAAGTCCATACATCTTAAAATCAGCAAGTTTGTGGGAGGAAAAACAACAACCCTGCCGTATGCTTTTTGAACTGTATGAGTGTATGTCATTTAAAGATCTATTTTAAAGTCCAGAAAAAAAGTCATCTTAAAAAAAATAAGCTTTAGGGAGACAGAATAAAAAATGCAAAATAGTGACTCACTTTTATTTTTGAATGTAGTTGCTGCTATAGCTAATTGCTTGAAATAACGTATATAGTCATGTAACTTCTCAAAATGTTTTCTTGATTTTATTTTAAGGCAATGTAGCATCCTATATAACCAATGCCAATCTTGCTTGGTTTCTCATTGGCAAATTGGTTTAAGCCTTGATTTTAGTGGTAGAGAAAATGTGGAAAGTAATTTCCAATCTGAACAATTGCCAGTCCCTGGGGGGATATGAGGACTTTTTGGCCTGGCAAATTTAAACATTTATTCAAACAGATAGGACCTCTTTTGGAAATCTGTTTTAAGTCCTTGGCTCAAGCTTGCCAATGTTCAACTATTTCAATTGGCCAAGTAATTTCTGTGGATAAGAAAGGAGGAAAGAATCAGTAAGTCTGCTAAAAACAAAAAAAAAGAATTAATTGCTTGGCAGTTAGATGTGTGGCTTAAAATAAAATTTTCCTAACAGATCTTTACTTGCCCTCTCAGAAATATAGAACTAGTCCGGGGAAGAGGGAGCAGGCATACATCTGGCCTTTCAATGGCATGCTGAGATTATACTATATCTCCCAAAATAGGCAAAATCAGGTTGAAAAAGTAAACAAGGTCAAAATGAACCCTGCATCTAGCTCAAGAGAACGAACAATTTTTTGCTTCATATTTAATTAGAACATTAATAATACAGAAAACGGGAAAAGAATATTTGCTATCAGGTCTTTGGGGAATCCAATCTTTACATGTGTCTTTACTGGCTTCTCACATTTATGTGAAAAAAAAATTAAATCAACTGATATTTAATAAATGCTTGTACACCTTGGTAAAGCTAATTTACAAGAAAGTAACCAAGTTTATCTATCAGCTAATTGAGTTTGCTACAAGGAATATAACTCAATGTTGTCCCTTTTAATGCTTTCTCTAGTGCTGTATAATTATACCCAAATTGTCATTCAGATGCTCATTGTGGATGGAATTTGTCTGTTTCATTCCAATGATATGGTTCCTGAGGTATAGAACTGGGCTGGATTCTATTAAGAAAAAGGCAAAGAGTAAAAACTATTGAATCTTTAAAACCTACAGCCTATTGCTTGTATTTTTTAGCATTATTGTAAGCACATAAATTATTCCTCGAGCAAGGCAAGGAGGTAAATTTTGCAAATCCTAGTCTAATTATTGCTTACATGGATTTTCAAAAGAAAGCCATGATTGGGCAGATATCCAGTGTGTATTTAAAATGTTTTGTATTTTATCTATTAAGCTAATCATCTGAAGAGATTTTATCAGGTATTCCTTAGCTGTAAATGAATGACTAGATATTGGGAAGGACAATTAGATAGGATGAACTGCTGTGCAATTTAAAACACAATCTGTCCTATTTTTATTAAAAGTCATGTAAGCGAAATTGGTACCTTTTAGTTACAGCATTCTGAAATCTGCAAATATATATATATATATTCTTGTACTTCTCTCATAAATCATGGACATTATACTGGAATGCCAGAACTGTAAACAAACAAAAATCCCAAAGGTGCTTTTTTTTTCCAAAAGGCAACTGGGCTTTGTTTTTTCCAAACACAAAGGAAATGTTCAGACCTTTGTGGGAAGGAAGACATGGAGAATCTTAAACATTATCCAGTGTCACAAATGAAGGAGGATGTAGGTATCCCAGGATAATGTTGCAGGATCCAATCTGGGTTGGTCACCAAGATCAGAGGTTTTGTTTTATAAGCTTTCGGATTCAGCTTATCAAGTACTTAGAACAGGGGTCTTCAAACGTGGCAGCTTTAAGACTTGTAGGCTTCAACTCCCAGAATTCCTCAACCAGCTATGACTGACTCAGATTGGATCCTGCATTATCCACTATATGGTTTAGAATAGAATAACAGAGTTGAAAGAGACCTTGAAGGTCTTATAGTCCAACCCCCAGCTTAGGCAAGAAACCCTGCATCACTTCAGACAAATGGTTGTCCAATCTCTTCTTTAAAACTTCCAGTGTTGGAGCATTTACAACTTCTGGAGGCAAGTTGTTCCACTGATGAATTGTTCTCACAGTCAGGAAGTTCTTCCTTAGTTCTAGGTTGCTTCTCTCCTTGATTAGTTTCCACCCATTGCTTCTTGTCCTGCCCTCAGGTGCTTTGGAGAATTTCCTGACTCCCTCTTCTTTGTGGCAATCCCTCAGATATTGGAACACTTCTACTGTGTCCCCCCTAGTCCTTCTTTTAATCAGAGTAGACGTACCGAGTTCCCGCAACCATTCTTTATATGTTTTAGCCTCCAGCCAAATAAGCATCTTTGTTGCTTTTCTCTGTTTCTTGTTTAAAGTTTCATATTGCGCATAAATGAACGATCACTGTAATCATTTTACCCTCATCCAGTAGAATAGGAGCTGATAATTCAGGCTGGGGCATTTTATGGTCACATCTGGCCCTTTGGCTGTCTCTGTCTAGACCATGTGAGGTCAACTGGAAGTTAGAAAATAAAATGTAAATAAGTGCATTTCAGAGGGTGGGAGAAGAAGCCAAGTGTCTCCTTTCGTCAGCTGATGAGAGAAAGGCTTTTCTGCAGCCTGTTAATTAAGTTAGAAGTAGATCCAATAAAAATGCTAAAAATCTATTAATGTGATAAAACTGAGAAGAGTGGGGGCCACGATAAGGTTGAGGCTGTGTGTCCTCCTTCCCTCAACACATGGGCAATGGTGGGTGAATTAAGTTCAGCCTATTGGTTTGATTCTCCATAACAATCGCAGTTTTTCATGTGGCACTTTGGGAAAATTAATTGCCTACCCCTGTGATAATTTAATTAGAGAGGGGAAAAAGCTGCTCCTGGTGACTGGCCTGGTTGCAAATGTAAGAGGGGAAATAATTTAAGGAACTGCTTCTCCCAAAGCAAAGAAAATCACTTAATGTCTATAGTTAAGGTACATTTTCAGTTGCCAAGCCCAGAAGATACTTATGATATAACAATCACCTTTTCGTACTTTTATTGATGCCTCGCCAAATCATATTTTCATAGATTCATTGGAATTTCTTTCCAACAGATATTTGCAGATAAATATTTAATGTGCTAGTGATAGTCTAGAAGTGATGATAATTCACAGACCCTTGGTTTTCCAAAGCTTTTCATCCTTCGGGTTACTTTCAATCTGAGCAATGTCACCAAGAATTGTTAAGCTGTTGACAGGTGAACTTATTTTTACAGCCAGTTGGGCAAGTCTTCCTCCATATGATTGGCACTAATTGGATCCCTTCTTGTCAGTCTTGAGAAGGGAGATGAAGACTTTATCAAGGCCAGTCTTTTTCTTTCCTTCCCTTTCACCTTTTGTGCACAGCTGAAATGAATAGGAAGCTGGCAGCAATATTGTTTGTGTCATAACTGCCTTGAGATTAAAGACATTCCCCAGGCCCATTATTCCTGGTATTATTTTTTTTTACCACTTTTGGATGCTTGCTGGGATCTTCTTCAAATGAAGCATTGCTGTTTCACATACAATGTGTCAGCTCTACATTATTCCCTTTTTTCCTTGGGGTTTTTCCAAGTATTTTATTTATTTATTTAGCATATGGCAAATACATGGACTTACAGTGGTTCAAATTTAATGTCCAGTCCACCCAGCCATTCAAGGACAGCCTAGTCTATGCTGAAAAAAATCACACAACGCAGATGTTGGCCCAGTGTAAGTTCTTGATGGGACATTCAGACATAATGTGGTGAATATTTTGTTGGGGATCACTGCAGTCACACTGAGGGGCAGAGACAACACTCCACTTAAACAATGAGTCCTGGCAGACACCATGCTGGGTACCGATCCTGTTCAGAGTTGACCAATGCTGATGACTAAGGTCAAAACCTGGCACCTTTTGTGTGTAGGGTCATCTAAGTAAATGCCTGTATCTGGGTGTTCAGCAACCCATTTGGCTTTCCACTGTGTGTTGATGTCAAAGTTTCCCAGGGTGAAGCTTAACCATTGTACTCCTGGTGTGCTGAACCCTGTGATTTCTCCTAATGAAGAAAAATCAACTGCATAATTTGTGGGTCTTGATGAGCAGGGTCTAGAAAGTGCCGTTGCCCCCAACCCTATGGAACCCCTTGTGCTACGGTGAGGTTGGCCATCACTCTGCTGGCATTCTGAACCCGACTCTCTCCACAAACATGTGGATTCAAGAACAGGACGCAGCCTTGGGAGTGGCTGGTGGCCTGGAGATACTCTCTCTGTGTTTTTAACTTTGTTCATTTATGTCTAGACCTTTATGTAACTTTATTGTTTTTTTACTGATAAACCTCCCGTTGTCAGTGTTCCAGAAAACAAACTCCAACTCAGAAAACTCCAAGACAGGCATTTTCTCACAGTTCCATTTTATTAGAGTTGTCATACTGGCACAACTGGGAAAACCCAAATCTGAGGCTTCCGGGTTTCCCCTTAGTAATTGAAAATCAAAGACCCATTCCCCTGCACCCATCAGTCTATCACATGGCCCAATCACCATCCATCCCAACTGAAGACAATCCTCCAACCACTCCTTGTCCAGGTGCAGGATGACATGACCTTGACTGAGAATAAGAATGCTATTATGACTAACTACAACCACTCTTATGAGATTCCCCCCCTCCCAATTTCCCAGGCACAGGAATGTAGCAGCATGAAAGCTTCTGAGGCTAATGTGGCTTCCAAGGCTGGCATCCGGAGTCACTGAGTGAGAAGGGTGGTCTATAAATTTGATATTTTCATATTTTTAATTTATGTTGGGGGTATTTTTAATGATTTTTATGAATTTGGATGGTTTTATTATGTACACTGCTTAAGAGTCGCTCCGTGAGAGACAAGCCTTGCTTCCAAAGTTGAAACTCTGAATTGTAAAACTGTGCCAGTCATTGTAGGTGTCAACATGATGGCATATATTTCATTTTCATGTTCACCTTACCACACAACCAACATTAGTTGCTTCTGGTTTATGTGATTTCCATTTTGCAGAGATCAATTTCATCTTTCCCATTTAGTTAATTATTTACTTATAACTAATATTATTTAAGTCAGGGATAAGTTGGTTACAGGTGCTAAATAGCAGGAAACAACTTGAGTGCGTTGGAGAGAATGTAGAATGTTAGGCTGTGCAGAATGAATTAGAATGAAAGACTGTAGTTAAATGCATATTTTAAAAGAACATGATACCTTTTCTTTGTTTTTATAATTACCGCTAACTGTTTTTCAAATGAAGGTTTCCTTAATTAAAGCTTTAGAAATCTACACCTGTTCCAAGTCCCCCACAGTGCTCAATCATACACAGAGTTTTGTTGTACTCAGAACAGCTACATAAATGTACAAAGAGACTCTCATGCAGGAGAACATCTGTTTAACAGTCTACCCACATGAGTAGTAGTAATAGAGTAACACTGGAAATATTTTTTATTTATTTATTTTTATTTGTCAATTGCTTACAAGATAATAGGTATAAGTAAAAACATAGTTATGAATACATGGATGCGTATAATAAAAATAAAAATATATATAAAAGAAACAATAGGGCACGTTGGTGAAAAGTGCAGCTTTTCTGAACGGGACAACTGGGGTCATGCTGAAATCTTTGCTCTCAAAAACAAGTGCTGCTTCTGCTTTGCATTTTTTCCCACAAGGATTTCCTTGTCCATGTATTTGCTTATAAAGTTTTTATCTCATTCTTCTACAAGGAACTCACAGTAGCATGCTTGATCTCCCTCCCATTTTATTTGCATGCTAACCTTTGCATTAGGTTGGGAAGGAATTGAACTGTGACAGTCCCAACACCATCGGTTTCAGCCTCCAACTCTAGCCAGTTTCAGTGGTTACAGGAGAATGGGTGTTGCTGATCCTAATTTGTTTCATTAGTAGTTCAGAAAAGGTTATCTCAGTGAGCTTCCTCATGTGATGTTAAAATGATCCTACAGCTATCATAAGGGATTGGGTGTTTAGTCTTTGAAGACTTACTTAAGGAGTGCAAAAACAGCAGCCATGCAGTTGGTCCTGGACTAAAATTCCTCAACATTGGACCGGTTCATTAGATCTGCACAGCATTCTTGTTCTGCAATATCCAGAAGGTCACAAGTTCCTCATACTGTTGCCTTTCATCAGACAATAACAGAATTGTACAGGAAGCTTAAAGTTTGTATTATCCCAATTCTTCAGACAGTACAGAATCTTTGGTGTCAGCTTCAGCTGTGGCATCCATAACCCTCCTAATGTGGCTTAAATGTTTCTCATTAAGAAAATCATATTGCCTTAATGCTCATTAAAAAAAATACTCTTAACAGCAGCATTCAAGAGGGGAGAGGAGAACAATGTCAAAAATATGTCGAGACATTGGTCATGCCTACATGTTCAAAGCCCCATTTCTTTACACATGTATGTAACATACATAAAAACAAGGCAGGGATTCAATCATGCAGTTGTTGCCATATTGACATTTTTGTTTACCTATCCTGTGGCCCCTCCTGGATTCTTGTATTTCATTGCGGTCTCCATTTAATTCCATAATATTCCATCAGGGCAAATCTTTCTTTGAGATTTATTTATGTGTGTTTGTTTGTGTGTGTGTTTGTTTGTATGTGACACTTCTGTAAGGAAAGGAAGCATTGGAACCCAACCAGATCAATGGATAGCTCCATCAAAACCAGATCTGGAGTACTCAGATTTTTCTAACCTAGAATTTGTTAATGCTGCTTGCTTTTGTTGACTTAGCCAGAGGCAGAATGTCAGTCTTTTGTAGCTGTATCAAGCTCACCTTCTCCAGAGCCATTATATTGCTTGCCAAATTTTTATGCTAATGAGATTTGCTCTTGTAACCTGGATTGGGCAAAGGCATAGACATTTTTAGATAACTCAGAAGCAGTTAAAGTGAATTGTTGGCCAGGGTTAAATATAAGTCTAAACTAAAGGAAAATGCCAGGATGCGCCTCCTAACCCAGGCACCAAGATAGATTGAAGTTCTTTAAGTAATCTTCCTATCTATCTGAATACAATGTCTACTCAAGATGAGTAGGTAGGACTTGTCCAGTTATAAGATTGTTGGGAACCAGGAAGCTATTGTGAGCTGTCATATAATAGCTTTCTACATGGGACAGCCTTCCAGGGACATGATTCTAGCCCAGCAGCTCTAAAGTGAAATGTAGATCAAGGGTCCCCCCAATCTCTGAACCGTTACCGGACCAGTACCGGTTCATGGCGTCTTGGGAGCCAGGCTGGACAAGCAGTGGGCAAGCAAGCAAAGCTTTATCTGTACAAGTGTGGGAGCTAGGTTGCGTGTGAAACCACCCACCCTCCCTGAGTCTGTGGAAAAAATTGTGTTCCACAAAACTGGACTATGGTACCAGAAAGGTTGGGGACCGCTGACTTAGATCAAAGCACTTTTATTTCAAAATTTAGAGGCCCTAGAAGGAAGGGCTTATTCTCCCTACATCCAGAAACATTCTAGTCTGCAAAGAGGGTATGTCCCACAGAAGACATTCACAGTTATCCTATCCAAAGTGACAGCGGCCATTTACATAGAGATTCACAGTTCAGTCACTTTCCTAGCTGGTCTTCCACCTTGATGTGAATAGAGACTGATTTTAGAACTGTTGGGATAATGTACAACAGCAACACAAACGTAATGTGAGACAGTTAACCTGCAATGCACTACTTCTACTTGAGCATCCATTCCCCCTGATGGTCCTTTCACATTTTACAAGTGAACTGCTGTTGCTTACCATTAATAGTGTGCAAACACATCCTATTCTCTAGATGCCTGCATGTGAACTTCAGACAAGTCCTAAAAATAATATTCCTATTATCAAGAGCTAGGGTGTTGGTGGCAAGTCTAATTTTTTTTCCCCTGCCAAGAATGTGAAAATGTGTTGGAGACTGCTAATTAATTCATTGCCTATGCAAAACCGCCTGCTCTAAAGAATTGTTGAGGAGTTTTATGTCTATGCATTTCCCAAATCTGAGACCCATTTAATATTCTAATTCCAGTGTTTCCATTTAATGCTAATATATTTTATACATGAATATGAGACTATATTCTAACAGAATATGGATAAATCAAGCTAGGAAGAAAATGTCACATTAAGAAGCTCCTCATACTAACCGAGATATGGAAGTGTCGCCCCACCAAGCTTCAGCCTATGGGCCATTTCGTGTCTTATGCAGAGCAAACAAAATCCATAATATCTACTATCTGAACTGTAGCTTTAAACACTTAGAAGGACAGCAAATAAAGTAGAGCTTGCTTTTCATTTACGGTGCATGAGATGCCACTATGGGAATATTCTGGCTTCTTAAACAGTTTGAGATGACTTAACTATATTTTACACATGCTCTTAGCTGAAATATATAAAGAAACCTTGCATTTTTCAAAAGGTTTTTCAGCTTAACAGGGGTCCATTTGTCCCCTTCTGGAGCCATTGTTTTTCAACAATCAGAAAACCAAAATATGTTTTTTTTTCCCCTGTTCCTCCACTTGACCACAAACCACCTGCAAAACTTGCTTCACTGTACTATATAATAGGTTCAAAGCTGAGCAGATTCTACTATATAGTACATGCATAAAACAATGGATGCCATCTACCTGACTTGGTAACCAAATTAATTTTCCCATTGCAGAAACACATTTCAGAAGACAGCTGGATCTTCATGTCTTCCTTTATCTCTACTTCCTCTTCCTCCTCTCCTTCCTCCTTTTCTTCTTCCTTTGAAACAAAAAAATAACTAACACAAACTAATATAAAAGTAAGGGGGGAAAAAAAGCAGGGGGAATCAAGGAAAAAGTAAAAAGTGCAAGAAAGGAAAAGAAAAACAAAGCCCTTCCTCCAAACAAAGTAGTGGTTTCCAGTATTCTTCACAGCAGTTATAAGTACAAATATCTGAATCTCTCTCTCTCCATAGAGTTACATTTTGCTCT